ACGTACATGCAGAATTAACATTTGATAGCAGTCCTTTTTCAGTTTAATATTCACAGATATTAGTCCATATTTGATGAAGTGTATACAGTAAATTCAGTTTTATGACTGGACCCTACTTTTTAGCATTCAAACAGTAAAAATCCACTCTTCAGTAAGCAGAACAACTCCCACAGTCCCTCGGATACCAAACTAACCTGGCTTTCCAACTGGAGCTGTGCAGCGATTGGCCTCTCTGACAGTATTTGATGCTTCTTTTGTTCATTTTTGGGCATTTTCATTGGTTAATTGCCCATTTAGTTCTGGTGGTGGGTCGTTCGTTCCTTTTTTATTTACTCTCCCTGAGGGTTCTAGAACATGCCAAGGTCGAACCACGCAATCTCGTCTCTCTCCGTCTGCTCGTTCCTCACCCTCTGTTAATTAAGTGCTCAGCTGTGACCCCATGCATGGTGGCAGTAAGGGGACAGAGGGAAGTGGTGTCTATCGATCGCCTCCTCTGGCCAGGAACAACCTTCCTTCAGCACTCCTCCACTGACCCTCAGAGAGTGTGTCGGAGAGGCAGACGTGCGTCCATGCTTCACGACTCTAGTGCAGGGGGTCACGACTCAATAAGGTCTACGCATGTATAGGGCTGGACCCCAGCAGCAATGAGGCTCTTGGCACCACAGTAAATGGGCTACTCTAATTGGTCTACAGACATAAGGTGTTAATTTACATGCCAACTTATGCGGCTCATTGTTCAGAATCTACAGCCTCAAAGGAACTGATCTATGGTCTCAAAGTCCCAACGTTTTCATGGTGGTCCAATTAGTCATGATTATATTGAGAAAATACTGTCAACTTAAATTTTTTTTCAAAGCTGTGTGTGACAGTCTACAAAAAAATTCTTCATATGTGGCATTTCGGTAACACTTCACTATGAGGTTAAATTTGTTAAAGTTGTGACGTAGCAGAAATAGCAACAGATCTTTTCTTCTGCATTGTGACACATCCAAATGAAACTGATTATTGAAAAAGAAAAAGGAAAAACAAACGGTCGGGACTGAGCTCCTTGCATCAGTTGTTGATTATAAGAAAAGTTTGGGTTTTAAGCAGACTAAATTATTGAAGGCATTCAACATACTGTACGCCACCAGAAAGAGGTCTGCCACTTTTACCGGAAAATTGAGTTATGACTTTTCGATTTAAAATTATAAGTCAAAAAATTAAACACATGTATGGATGAATCATTTACAACATGATCAATGTTGCATCAGTCTTGCATCAGTGCACTGAGAAATTTGAATTTTCATTTCATGCAGACTTAACACATTAGGTATGAACTGACAACAAAGAAATTTACAGCATTTAATAATATAGGTGGTAACGCTTTAGATTACAGCAACATTACATGCAACAATTAAGGAATAAAGAAGTAATAACCTGGAAAATCACAAATTATTTATACTATAAGCATATTGAAACTAAGGGGTACCCATTATAATATTATGTGGCATGTTTGACCTAACAACAGTCTTACGTTTGCAAGTGATTTAGCAAGAACATACACTGTGTACCTTTTAATAGTACACATATAAAAAAAAATGCTAAGTTATTGTTTCAATCCAAACGCTCAGTTGAGACTGTTGGGTCAGAAAGCTGATTTGATTTGTCCCAATTTGGGTGGACAATCATAATAGCTAAGTAACCCGCCGGTGCTGGGTTAAGAATGTGGACATGAAAGAGAGCATGCATCACGTCACTTGAGTTCAAATGCAAACATTTCTGTGTGCTAAAATCCATGTTTGCAGTGCTTAAGATGGGAATATGTGTGGAAAATAAAATAAAACTAATCGAAGCGCAGAGGAGTGACAACTTTGAAACTGTCTGGAGTGTGTTCGTTTAAAACTGGACAAAACATCATCTGATGCCCATATGAACATAGACATCACTGATCCTCACAAACTTCTCCAAAACACACTTCTTCCACGAGCATCCGTTATAAAACACTCTCTGTCCATTCATTTTGACAACTAAATGAATATACTGAACTGTGTTCAAGCAGAAATATGATCAGTGCACCAAGAGCACACACATACATGGTTCGTTTACGCATTAATAATAATGGGCACACGTTAACCTAATGTACAACTCCCATATGTCACTGTAATCCTCTTTACCTTGATTATAATTGTCATCCATCAAAACTTTACTAGCAAAACACTGGTTTGCTTTATCCAGCCGAGAGTTGTAGTTTGTATATCATATGCTGATGCAGCAGTCAGCTGTTTTGAGCCGCTGTTCAGTCTGTATTTCACAGAGTGCAATGAGAAACGGCTTGAGCTGCTCCAAAACACAGAATATCACAGAATATGTACAAGAGAGGTGGTGCTGTTATTTTTTTTATTATTTTTAAATTTAACATATTAATCATAAAATAAAAAATTATTAAAATTAATATTAAAACATATTAATCACTAATTGAGTAGGACCCTAGTGGGTTAAGCCAGGCTCACTCGACAGGAGTTGTAGGCTGATTTATCCCTGATTTTCCCCACCTGGGAATCGGAGCAAAAAAATATTGTCAAGGACCCCGGTCAGTTCCGATGTTTGGTGCATATTATCTGGTAATGTGAGGCATTTACAGATCAAATCTTGCACCTCTGAAACTGCTCGCACACAAATCGGGGCCTCCCCAATCATATCAAACATGTTTGATATTTAGGATTTTAAATCGGGGTGATCACGGCTATGATTATATAAGTACTTGAGCGACTGCAAAACAAGCTGCTGTACGGGTCCATTGAGGTGGAGGAAACTGCTTGTGGAAGTTTTGCAATAACACAACTGTCTGTATAATGTGTCGAAAATGTACCACAACCGTAAGGACAAAGAGAAGAGCTGGGGTGAAATCGCCTCAGTTTTGAACATACCAGATGAGTGTAGAAAGCTGCTAGCACGCTAGTTAATATATGCAAACTTTAGTAGCTGAAACGTCAATGACGATCTGCTTCATTAGGCTGGCTGCACACTAGACGATTTTAAGCCGATTTGCATCCCCAAACGATCAGGGGGTGTGGCCCAATTCGCGGCTTGTCGCAAACGATTTTTTGTCCAAAAAATCCTCTATTGTGTGGTGTCATTACGATTATTTATCTGCTCCCGATCGAGACGGAGCGTCCCCGAACTCAAATTGTATGTTTGATATTTACCGGGCTGCCTCTGACGTGATACCCTCCAATGAGAGCGAGCAAGCGGCACCTACGCGATAGCCAATGAGAGCGAGCAAGCGTCACCTACCGGATGTTGCGTGCTTCTATAGCTGAAACTTGGCAGCCACAAACATGCCATGAAAGCAGAGAACATCACCCATATTCTTTGTTATACTTTGTTTGTCACTGTGAAACAGAACGCGCGCCAGGAGAGCCAGCTGACAACGTTGATTGTCCTCTATTTGTTTTTCTTCTCTAGTCACGTTTGATCTCGCGAGTGTCCGTAAGGTCATGTGTCACTGTGAAATCGTTCCTACAATCAACAAGTGTGTGGTCTCGCGATCTGGTCGAATCATCTAGTGTGTGCGTTCAGAGGATTATAAGGCAAAAAATCGGTTGAACTGTCTTCATGTCTGTGGTCTCCCATGGTTTTAAAATCGTTTAAGATTTGAAAATCGTCTAGTGTGTCCCAGGCCTAAGATCACGTGAGGCACTCCCTCTGGCATGATAATCTTAATAATATCTTGTAGTATGTGATGAACCATGATTTTCAAATCGTGTAGTGTGTGCATGCTTAAGATTTTGAGGGAAGAAAAAGATTTATCAATATGTGTGTGCTGCAAGCAGATTGCATAATCGGTTAGGATTTTAAAACTCCTGTAGTCTGAGCCCGGCTTTAAGTTCTGCATATAGTTTTTAACATTAAGAAATGTTAATGCATTATGAAAAAAAGGAACAACAATTAACAGAAGTATGTTTATAAATAAACCATTATACCTAATGCATTAAATAAAATTAAATGAAACCTTCTTGTACTGAGTTTCTAACAAATTTAAATAGGTTTCTTGTGTGAAAACAACAAGTTTGTTATTGCTAATTAATATATTTAGCAAGATATAATGCAGGCACACCACATGTCCGCTAAGGAAAAATACTAAGTATCAATGCTGTACAAAGGAACAAAATTAGGAAATCAGAACAGTATTTACGCATTTTACAAATGGAATTTTATTAATCCCAGAGCAAATCCAATAAAAACAGTAATTTTAAGTCAACAAAGTCCCACTGCAACAGCTGATTAGCAATTTGTCATACACAGTCATCAATAGATCAACAGTTAAGTTTATAATGTCTGTACAACTAGTGTCTCCAACAGAACTGCAAAAAAAAAAATATATATATATATAAATAAATAAATATATATATATATATATATATATATATTTCCAAACGGCTCAAGTCTCCGAATCAATCTAAAAATGGCATCCTTCTCTACATATTAAAATGGGATAGAAGAAAATATTCTAGCATATTCTAAAAATTACACACTGCCTCATCTTGTGTCATTAGAATGCCACATTTATGTCCATAGCCTACAAAAAAACGTCCCTGTCCCAATCCAATAAGAATTTCTGAGAGCCTGTTACAGTACTTAATGGGTGTGAAAAGGAAATTGTGTGAACAAAGAGGCTAAGAGGCCCATAAAACCATTTTCATAAATGATCAGTACTCCGGTGCTCCCCAGACAAGGTTTGCGATGGACTGCAACGTTTTTATCCCCTCTATTTGGTCCAAGCTCTGTGCGCATTATGTGCTGATTAATTGAATCAAGCTGTGATTTGGTTCTGTTCCATTGAACAAGTGCTGAGATGTTTCATGGCTGGGGTTCTCCTGGCTTCCTCTCTCTCGTAAAACACCTACCCACTGCCAACAGCACACAACATGCGCTCTCTGCTTATCGCCGTGTGCGATGAGTGCTACACTTCGGTTTCCCTAGCGATGCCTGAAAAACCAAAACATTAGGGCACTCACCACTGAGAGGATCCTTCTGTGCCAGTTATTTCCAGGACGTCATAGTCTTCTTCCAATTGGAAGTTGGAGAAGACCAAGGCGATGGTGTCACCTGGTTCGGCCAGCACGGTCCAAGTACAGTCCGCATTGTTGTTGTACTCCTGGGGGTAATTTGGACTGGTGATGACTCCACTTTGACCCCTTAGTGTGCCGCCACAGCCATCGTCCGCTGTGAAGAAGTGACACACACAAATACAGACACATTTAACTTAATAAATCAATTTCCTTGATCTTCTGGAGGAGAAATAGCTGGAAATGGGGGGGGTGTAGTGACACACAATGGAGGTCTTGAGGTTTCGGGCATCACTCGCAGGCCAGTGATGCAACACACTGTAACATGGGGGTAATTAATTGAGATCTATGTTAAATTCTGTTCATTATTTGTAGTCAAAACCTGTTTCTACTCTATAAACTGTGTTAAGGAGACAATTATATAACAAATAGGCACTTAACGGCTGCTGTGGTAATTGAGCCCCCTGGCTCTCCCAACCTTCCTTAGTGAATCACATGCAATCTCTCTATTTTTCGTTCACTTGATGCTCAGTCTTTCTTCCTGACAGCGAGTCCGTGAGGTGAGGAAAAAGAGCCGAGCCAACTGTGGGTGAAGGCGAAGCAACAGACCCACTGACTTCCCTCCCCGTTTTTCTGCTATGCATCCCTCCCCTGAGAAAAAGGAAGAAATCAAAACTTTTTGACATTGAGAAAAGTTGAGTCTAGATACCTGACCTCCTTTTCAAAAAGAGGCATTGTCTCTAGGACGATGTACATAAAATGAATATAAAAAGTTGTACAGACAACCAGGCTGCATCTACAAGTTGTTTTGTAGCTGATAAGACAAAAAAAACTATTTGTTAGAGATCGTACAGGTAACTGGGGACTACAAGATATCCATGGTGAGTTTTGGCAGAAATCATATAGAATCTAAGATGTTTAGCTGAGGTGTCAAGGTTGGGTCATCTCAACAGACCCTAGTCAAGTTAAAGTCATATTTGATGTTTGTCAGGAATGAAAACGCGACACTGAGGAATAGAAATACAGTGCGTTCAATGGACTGTACTGTTGTTTATCAACATAATGATTGTTCTGCTGAAGAAACATCTAAACATCCAAAAAACTTTCAGCAGACAACAATTCCATGAAACAGTTTGGAAAGTTGTAAGTTTAGAAAAGTACATGTGATCAAGGACCTTCACACAGTGTGTGCCATTTTGAAAACTGTAAGTCTATCCCTCACAGCCTCGTTCATCCACGCAAAATTCAAAATGCCATCTACCCTGATTAAGGTCTACTGAAATTGCAGTTCTTCAAAGGTCCAAAAGTCTGAGACTTTTTATTTATTTATTTATTTGTTTGTTTGTTTGTTTGTTTTAAATAATTATATTATCAGCATAACAATTACCATTATAATACATTTCAGGATGTTTTTGTATGATTATTGATGCTGAAGTAGCAGAAATACTCAGAAATCTTTCTTCTGAATATACAGATATGAGAAATATTTCTCATTCAAATGTTTCTCTCTTTAATAAATTTATTTTTTAATAATTTTATGGTAACTATTTTTTACTAATCAGATACATTTTTTTAAGTTAAATGTACACTACCATTCAAAAGTTTAGGGTCGGTAAGATTTTTATGTGCTTATCAAGGTTACATTTATTTGATCAGTAATATTGCGAAATATAAAAATTTAAAGTAACTGCTTTCTATTTGAATATATTTTACAATTTAATGTATTCCTGTGATGGCAAAGCTGAATTTTCAGCAGATTTTCTGCTCAAGAAACATTTATTATTATTATCAATGTTGAAAATTGTGCTGCTTTTTTTTTTTTGTGGCAAATGCAATAAATTTTTTTCTGTATTCTTTGATGAATAGAAAGTTCAAATTAACATTTATTTGGAATTGATATAAACATTATTTTATACTAAAATGATTTTGCATGTGGTCTCAGGCTTTTGAACTCCACTGTATATAGAGAAAAAATAAATACATAAAAATCACACCTACAGTAAAAAGACATTCCTGCCCTGTAAAGTCCCAGTTTGATAGCTACAGAAGAATTATGAATTATGGGTGCATGCCAAGTGGATATGTTGCCTTCCAGGCATGTAAAGGAGCAAAGAGCCTCTGTGTGAGCGAGTGAGTGACTCATAATGATAACTAGGAGGCTCTCTGGGGCAAAAGAGGGGTTGAGGAAAAAAGAGTGATGGGAGATTTGTTTAGGAGGCATTTGAGTTGGCGTTCGTGTGTGAGTTCGAGAGGGAGGAAGGAAAGACAACACGAGAGAAAAAGTGAGTCATCACACCTAGCAGGCAAAATTCTCTCTCACCAACCAAATAAACAAACTCTATGTCAGAGCGAGTGCAGAGTGTGTGTATATGCCTCACACAGGTGAAGGAGCTTGCTTGTCACTGATGGGTCTCTGACAGGCCAGCATGGGATTCATTAGCAGTGACTGGCTAATCACATGATTTCTTTTCTGTGAGTGGAAAACGGCGGGAGGACCTGGGCCCTGTCAGTCTTCCGTCGGATCCGTCACTGTTACATTTCCCCGAAGAGACACTGAGCATATGTGAGGAGCAGCATCTGAGAGTTCTAGAACAGAGGGATGGAGAGAGGGAAAAAAGTGCCATGGAGGCAGGGGAGGGAGGACCGGCTATTGATATTCCAGCCGTGAGTTTCTGTCACACTTCAGCAGAACGTTGCCGATCACTGGCCTCAGCTCTGCCTCTCAATTTGGTCGTTTGATCTTGTAGAGACTTTGTGACTTCATGTCTAAACTGCTAATATTTATAAAAGGCTGTGAAAATGTATTTAGTATTTGCAGAAACCTAAAAGCATCACTAAAACTAGATTAACAGTTCATGAAGGTAATACATAAAGTTCTGGCATTCATGATTACATATATGAAAGGAACACAAGACCAATCACAATTGATTATGCATATAGATGTCAGAAAGACAACCAATCACAATTCACTACACACACAATACTGTTAAAACGTTTTGTTTTGTTTTAAATAAAATAATACTTTTATTCAGCAAGGATGCATTAAAGTGTTCAAAGGTGACCGTAAAGACACTTAGAATGCTACAAAAGATTTCTATTTAAAATAAATGCTGTTCTTTTGATATTTCTATTCGAAGCATCCTATGCTTTTTGAGCACAAAATCAGCATATTTCCGCAGGATGGCAGTGAAGAATGGAGTAATGTCTGCATGAAAAAAAAAAACAGCAACACATTTAAATTATATTTTAAGACATTAAATATAATTTATAATTTAATTACAATTTAACATTTATAAATTATATTTTAAGACATTGAAATAAAAATCAGTTCTTTTAAACTGTAATAAGATTTCACAATATTACTGATTTTTACTGTATTTTTAATCAAATAAATGCAGCCGTGAGCATAAGATAATTCTTAAAAAAATAAATAAATCTGAACCACCCCAAACTTTTGAATGTTAATGTATATTTATAACACTATACTTTGTATAGCATTTATATTACATTACATTAAATACAGTACAATATGTGTATTTGTATTGTGTAAGTTTCTTATATAACAGTTGAGGGAATGATGGTAAATTTTCATTTTTCTCTCTTCTGACTGCCATTAACATTTTGGAAAGACTATCATTGACTTTCTTTTACTATTGGAGCAAATGGAAACACAAAAAACATACTTTCTGTCATTTCCCCATCACCACTATATAGAAGTACACCCAACAGTGATGATTTCTGGTTCTGAGAACCCCACAAATGTGAAAAGTGTCCATCACTGAGTAGTATCAGAAAGAGACAAGCATAACCTGTTGGCTTTACCACAGCAGAGCCATTTTTGTGCCATGGTACATGAAGTACAATATATTAGAGTACACATGGCATTCATTGTCATAGTATGTCATATAGTATGTAAAAAAAAAATTTTTTTTTAATTAAAAAAAAAAAACGTATCAAAACACCCCTAAGTTTTGTAAGGCTGCCCCATTTCCTGACAACTACTGCACATTACAGAATTTTGGTTTACATCAATCAGTTTCCTTAATATAAGCTCAAGCAGACCTTTGAACTGCCCAAGGAAGTCTCTTTTATGTCAAAGTGACTTGTTCAATTGCCTTGAATAAATGGATGATGTGTGATGCATAAAGATCTAAGCCCCTACAAAAGATGGTCTGCTTGTGTTTCATGTTTCTTCATACTGCCTTCCTCGGGCTCTGCGGCTGCCATGGTAACACAGCAGCGAGTGGTGTGCAGCAGCACCCTGAGACCCAAGAGCCAGCACTGATAGAGAAGAACAACGGGGAAAAGAAAAGGATTTTGGAGTAATAACAGATCCAACCAGTCCGTAATAATTCAACTTTTCGGTTTTCTCTTATATTCCTTTTGGAACGAGCATCCTGTTCAGTGTGCCGTAGAGAAGGGTGGCATGCCAGCAGCCAGCCATTCTGACGTTTTGAATGCGGAATACTGAATGAATTCCCACAGTGCGAGTGAATGAGGGGGTTGAGAGGGCTGTGAGGATACAGACCATGTGGAGATGCTTAGAAGCAGAGATCTGATATTCATCTGGGAAAGTATTTCGTTTTGTATATAAATATAGACTTATTAGATCAAATATTTATAATACGCTCTATAGGAAGTGGTAAATAAGACAGACTGATCGCTGTGAAGAGGCCTGGAAGATATATAAGCAGTAATGAGGAAATATTTATATATATAATTTTTTTACCCTTTTTTTATGAGGCACTAAGATGTGGACAAACAATATTTTAAAAGATGGCAATAAATAGATGCAATGGCTGCCACAAAATTGCAAAATAATTAACAATAAAAATAAAGTAAAATAAAAAAGTAACATTTTAAACTTAAATTACATTAAATAAAAGTAATGAAAAAGTTCAGATTACTTCCCTTATGTCTTTATTCTGATTATAGAAGTCTAAATATAGATGAGAATATAACTCTAGGATTCATCTTGTTGTTGTGTATATGTTTTGTATATAAATATAGACTTATTAGATCAAATATTTATAATACGCTCTATAGGAAGTGGTAAATAAGACAGACTGATCGCTGTGAAGAGGCCTGGAAGATATATAAGCAGTAATGAGGACAGAGAAGCAAGATGGCTTCTGGAGCCTTACTGACACTGTGCGACTCCTTTAAGGGAAATGACCCAACCTCCTGCCACATTCTGGCCACCCATAATCAGAGCCAGAGAGGAGGCTGTCTGCTGTCGGCTACCACAGCCTTTGATTTGCTGTTTTCTCTACATGTGTACAGAGCAGAACTTCGTTTGGATTAATCAGATTTTGTTTTGTTTTTTTATCTTTTTTTTATTTTATTGACAAAAAAAAACACTATTCCACATTCTGCCCAATGTCCTTCATACAAACGTGCCAACTGCATGCTATGAAAACATACAGTGCTTAACAATTTATTAACAATTTATTATTAATTGTTTAAATCAAATATGTTATTGTCATTTATTGGGCAAATAAACTTAAACAATGCACAATTAATGTTTTTGCGCTGATTATTAATTGTCTCTCTTTTCCGTCTGTCTGACGCGCGTGCACGCGCCCACCGCTCATTCAGTAAAGATTAAAACTTAACGCAGACTGTCAGGCTTTATGCAAAATGGAAATGCTTGCGTGAATTTGTGACATTTATACATAAGGATATGACCTTAAACTGAAAGTTTTTGTGCTGAGGACACACACGCATCATCTGGCAAAGCGCCTGACAGGGCAAGCCATTACGCAAATGCATTAGCTTAAAGCTTAAAATAAAGAATTCTCATGTTTTGGGCAACTTGGATCACGTAACTCTCCCGCAGCATCTCATTCTGTTTCCTCAACTATTTTTAGATGCATTTTGTCCATAAAAATGTGTAATTCAGTGCTGTAATTTGACGCTACCGGCTTAAGTTGGACGTGAACTGTGGGCAGCCCGGACCCGACTAATCGATAATGACAATCGTTGTCGATGATTTTTATAATCGATAATAATCGATTTTATCGATTAGTTGTTGCAGCCCTAGTGTATATGTGACCCTGGACCACAAAACCAGTCTTAAGTCGCTTGGGTATTTTTCTCAGTATTTAGATTTTTTTGCACCCTCAGATTCCAGATTTTCAAATAATTGTATCTCAGCCAAATATTGTCCTATCTTAACAAACCATACATCAATGGAAAGTTTATTTATTCAGCTTCCAGATGATGTATAAATCTCAATTTCAAAAAATTTACCCTTATGACTGGTTTTGTTGTCCAGGGTCACATATAAACAACTTTTTAAAACAAATACGTTAGCAATAAATAAATGCAACGGTTACCACAAAATAAATTACTTAAGATGAAGTCTAAGGTTACTTCACGCATGACTTTATTTTTATTACATAGGCTGTATATGAGATTAGTTTATTCTGTCTAAAAGTAAAATCCATAAATATATTATCTCTGCTGTACCCTTCTGCAGGCTGGCTAAGAACCATCCGATTAGCTGTGCCAAGAACTGCAGTTCAATTCATTTTGCTGTTCAATTCCTCATACAAATATGGCACACTTATGTCTCCAGTAATTTTTTTAATAAATACTTTATTGTTAAAGTTAAGAAGGAATGAGCATCTGGAGACACATGGTTGGATCGGGACTCAGCAAATCCATGAACTGCTAACACCTGGCACGAGAAAGCAGAGTGGTGTGATGGTGAGAAAAATACAGGGACGAAAAGACTAAAAACTGTACAATGTAAAAGAAGAATAACGAGGCGGAGGAAGGACGCCAGTTAAGGATAATGGAGCTTCAGCATTGGCAAGAGGGGGTCTTCTTCTGGCATTGTGTGTCTTAGCATGTGTGTCTGTACGTGGGCTTCCTGTCCCCCAGCCTGGGCACAGATGGCCCTGGTTCATACTGGCCTGCAACACACTCGATCTGGAGACCAAAGCTACTGTGCATTGCACTCGCATATGTCTAATACATTATACATGCTATTATCTGTGGAGCACGTTTTCATTGTTTTATTAACTGCAAGACCTGTGTATGTTTTTATGAGACTGCCATGAATATGTGAATATGCCCATGTAGAGTTCATTTATGCATACTTATGAGCCTGTGCTTTGCGTATAACAGAATGGACGCAAAATGTAAGCACATCACGTCAGTGGGGCTCAACATTGTGTTAATATTTGGCCTCGAACTGTCAGCATGTTTTCGGTGTATCATGACCGAGAGCATTTGGATATCCCTCTCCCCCAGTCAACAGCTAACACATTACCACGTGACCTCGCTGTCGGCAGGTATCACCTCGGGGGTCTCTGCTGCGTCTCATCCCGGAAAAATAGAACTGTGCAGCCAACCTGCTACTAAACGCTGGGATATCTGTCAGCGCTGATAAAGACACTTGGTAACCTTCTCTCGAGTCTCTCTTGAGGAGGTTCAGTCCCACCTCGCACATTTGGAGCCCCTGGACTCACCTCGGCAGTATGGCAGGGGGAAGTCCCAGGCAGCGGTGCCGGAGGAAGTGGCCAGGCAGGAGAGCACGGTGTGGCCCTCCAGCACATAACCCTGGTTGCAGCTGTAGCGGATCTTGTCCCCGATGTTGAAAGTAGAGCCCTGCTGCATGCCATTCAGCAGCTGACCTGGATTCCCACAGGTGTAGCTTGGAAGGGCTGGAATGGGACAGAAACAAAATGTTTTAACTGTAAACTGTTTTTTTATATATACAATAAACTGTGTGAGAGAGAGATGCATTTAGATGTTTTAATGTATAAGCTACCCCTGTTAAAAATGATATCTAAACTGAAATAAACTGCATTTTAAAATACATTTTAAATTGTAATATTTCACATTATACATGCTATTATCTGTGGAGCACGTTTTCATTGTTTTATTAACTGCAAGACCTGTGTATGTTTTTATGAGACTGCCATGAATATGTGAATATGCCCATGTAGAGTTCATTTATGCATACTTTTTTTTTTATCAAATACAAGCAATCTTGGTGAGCCTAAGAGACTTCTTTCAGACACATTTTACATCTTTACAAAAGTGTACAATATAGATGTAGGGTTCCAATTTGCAATAGCCTGAAATGATATATCTATAATGTAACTTCATAATACATAATACCTATAAAATCACAGCATTACTGATTTGTACATTCTATAATATTCAATCCACTTACAGTACTTCAACCAATCACAAGATATTCTGACTCGCCATTTCAAAAAAAAAAAAATGGTCAAGTTTTAACACATTATGTACATAATCAATTCATACAAGACATATTGACATCAGTACATTAAAGTCTAAGGCAAGTCAGTTTACTAGGAAAACTAACAATTTGTAACATTTCAAAAATGTCAAAACAACCATTCAGACAATAATTAAAGTTTTTGTTCTTTTGCTCAGAAGGCTTAATAAAATATTTAAAACATTTATGTAGATATTCAGTAGATCAAAATAAATAGACAGACAGACAGACAGATACACACTCACATTTCAAAAGAATTTGAAGCATATGAATATGTGTTCTATATTCCAGCTATTCTGTACAATACCACCAGCAGGTTTTCTTCTGATTTTCTACTGTTTTGATTGGAAAAGCCATGTAATTTAGTTTGCGGGTATACAAGCGTGAACACAATATACCCATACTGGAAGATAAGCTCTCCTAACGGCAATGACCTGTTAACAGGAATGGTACACTGCAGTAGGGAAATCTGTCTTAGAAGAGCTGGCTATGGAGAGACAGCTAGTGAGAGAGAGATAGGTGGGCTGACTGCTGATTATATCAGCGTTGATTAGGAGAGCAGTTTTGTCACTGCATAGGTGAGAGCATGTGAGAACAACACGTTTGACACGCACACACACACACACATTTATCAGCATGCATATTAATGAACAGTTGCGCAGGTGTGAGTAACATACACTTGAGATTGTGTGATTTTAACCAGGACTGAGTTGAGTGCTCCCTTAACCATTAATTAACTTGATTGAACGAGTGGCATGAATATGAGCTAGAATGCTATCTAGATTCTCCCATCGCTGGTCCGGTAGAACTGTTCAAAAGAATAAAAACCATCTACTTTCTCATTCTGATTTTGCATACATAAATCATGAATCCATAACAACTCTGTTTCTTAAACATAAATCCCTACTGGCCTTGAGAGACTTTAAGTATTCTGCGCCGCCTCTGGATGTTCCCTCATATGCTGTTCTCCCTGTGGCCCCACTGCATTTGTCTTATCCAGTCTATAACTCACAGGACTGACTGTACCACCCTTGCAGTTTGACTGCTTTAACCATTTTAAGGGTCGCGATATCCTGCCCGAGCGCTGAAACGGCAAGAGAAGCTTCTCGCGTTACGTCTGCATCTATGACCCTCCTTCTATTTCTCTTTCTCTGTCTCCATTTACACTGAACCAAAGAGAGAAAAAGAAAGAGAGAGAGGAATATAAGAGCAAACTCTGTTCTTGTAACCTGGTGAAGAATGGGACTCGATTCTATTTTTTTTGCATCACTTTTTTTTTCCCTTTCCTAATCAATTTCACTTGAGAAATAGTTTAATGATTACAACAAAGTGTGGTGCACTTTACAGTTCATTCTAGTCAGAGTCACTTACTTAGACAGGAAGACTCAATCCACTCAGAGTGCTTTGCTTAGCAGCTCGAGCACATCAGACATGCAGGCGTGAATATTGAATATTTATCATTATATTAATTACATGCATGTACTTTATAGACATCCTTAATCTCTAATAACTCCACTCTGCTCTCTGTTGTTGATGTTTCTTTGTCTGGACACAGCACTGTTCACACGCTGTGTGGTAACGGCTTTTGGCACCAGAGCATTTTAATGAGTAGGAGTATACGAGTACAGGAGTGCAGTATCAGGCCCCATACCGATACCAGTATCAGTATCCGCACTTCCCTACATGAAACAAATTTCATGTCTACATGAAACAAAATTGCTCTTAAGTGAAAGTTGTAGAAAGCAGACTGTTAATCGTGGTTTTAAACCACTCTTTATGGTCAGAACATGATAAACACTTCCCGCTTTTGAATTCTTTACACTTTTCCAGTCATGTTTTTCTTAACAAAATAAATATCTTAATAGAAAAAAATTTTTCTTAGTTTCTGCATGTTCTAATGAGTGATATAGTTTGTCAATATCATGAAACGGGTTTGTGTTGCCTGACTTTGGTGATGCATATCTTCAGCACAGTTTGTAGTGTGGGCTGCAATATTAATAATATTGCATCTTTTTTCGTCTCTTAGAAATGCACATTTGACAGTAGCTTGAGTTGACAGTAGTTGTAGCTTGAGTTAGGATGCAGATATAAATTTATGTTCCTTATCAAAAACAGTAACATCTGTAAAAAAAAAAAAAAAATTAATAATTACAACCTCATTTTAATTTTTTTACTGTTTGAGTTTTATTAAAATTAACCACTGGTCTTCTATAGTAGCATACATTTAGATCATGATAACCACAGTTAAAACCATACATACAGCACCTCAATACCATGGTAAAAATGTAACTATTTGGTTTCTAGGTGTTTGTATGAAAAACAGTAGTCTAAATACATTTAGTGTAAATGCACAAACACTATAGCTTAATCAAAAAAAATGCATTACTCTTTTAATACTTGTCTACATTAATAATATAATAAAATTCAGTACAATTATTATGTTAGTGTTACTGCAGTAAATCCATGATAAATGATGGCAATTTGTAGATTACAAAGTCTTCTGATTGTATCAGTAACAGCTCACAGTGTTTCTTCCTGTTTGTCAGTGCCATTTCATCTGAATTTAAACTAGTTCAGAGAGTAATTTGTGTTCTTTGCTGAATTCACAGCGCTGTTTAGTGCTCGTATGACCGAGTCTTATCAGCGAGTAAACACATCTGCTCTAGTAAGCTCATGCTTTTGAACTTTGAGCCAAGTGAATAAATGGTCCGTGTAACATGGTTCAAATGAGTAGTGATTTTTTGTTCCACTTTTGGCACATAAACATTATATCCAACATGTATCAAACGTTCGATCAAGGAAAATTCTATCACTATAAGTATCGTTATCGTTTTATCACCCAGCCCTATGCAGAAGTAATAAATATTAGTATGATATACATATTACTAGAAATAGTAGATATTACTGAAGATATTACTATTTATAGTAAACATTACTGGAAATGATCATTTCTGTTATTACTCCAAAAACTTGCTATTCAAGGAAAAAAAAAAACCTCTGAAAGTTCAAATATCCAATGCCACTAACTTGACAAACTTTGCTAAATCCAAAACTTGTATCCTTTCAAAAGTGATTAGTACAGCAACCCGATAAATCTAAGGCTGCGATCACAAGACGGGTAAATGAAACGGCAAGGTCAAGAAATTAAGTTTGCATCTGTTCACAACGATCACGACACTGCTTAGCATGCAATATCTCCACAGCAGATTCAAGAGAACTGATTTTATGCTGAGGAGGATTGATTTGTTTTACCAGCAAAAAAAATAACTGAAGCAGCAACAGGCGTAAATGATAAGTGATTTGCAACTGCGAGAGCAACACCACAAACAAATCACTAATGAAAACATATAGTTACCTAGAAAGCACTGTCTGTCTGTGACTTCTGCAGTCACATTAACTAGCACATATAGGCTAGGTTATGAAAGATGCGCGTCCACACGCATAAAAATGAATATGAAAGTTCTGGCACAATCCGCTCTGAAACGCCTACCACTCTCCATAGTCTATACTTTAAAAGTGACATTGTGAAATTGACCCCAACACACTAGCACATTAGCTCAACAAGCAGTTTCTGCTTTGTTGAGCAACGATTCAATCAATGCCTTTCTCTGGGTGCACAATTACCAGGCAACTGTAGTGTACACTCATCACCCCCCTGCACACAACAGGCAAGACATGCAATCTTTTGCAAATCCCACAATTCCTTCTACATAGGAGAAGAGTATTAGCGGCTTCCCACTATATCGTAATGACACACATGCATGAGTTCCAGCTGAAAGGAGACGGTTTGGCTGTGCATGACAAAATACTCTGAGTCTTTTGAGCACAAAAATGTCAAAATGCTTGTTCAAAAAATAAATAAATAAAATAGGGGGGGGGGGGAATTAAAT